ACACGCCAAACTTTCAAAGTGTTCTTCAATATTCTTTTAAAACTCAAGAACACGCCAAGCCTTCAAAGATAGACTTGATGGTTCGAATGGTGCAAGCAAACCCCAAGCCTCAAGGACACGCCAAACTTTCAAAGTGTTCTTCAATATTCTTTTAAAACTCAAGAACACGCCAAGCCTTCAAAGATAGACTTGATGGTTCGAATGGTGCAAGCAAACCCCAAGCCTCAAGGACACGCCAAACTTTCAAAGTGTTCTTCAATATTCTTTTAAAACTCAAGAACACGCCAAGCCTTCAAAGATAGACTTGATGGTTCGAATGGTGCAAGCAAACCCCAAGCCTCAAGGACACGCCAAACTTTCAAAGTGTTCTTCAATATTCTTTTAAAACTCAAGAACACGCCAAGCCTTCAAAGATAGACTTGATGGTTCGAATGGTGCAAGCAAACCCCAAGCCTCAAGGACACGCCAAACTTTCAAAGTGTTCTTCAATATTCTTTTAAAACTCAAGAACACGCCAAGCCTTCAAAGATAGACTTGATGGTTCGAATGGTGCAAGCAAACCCCAAGCCTCAAGGACACGCCAAACTTTCAAAGTGTTCTTCAATATTCTTTTAAAACTCAAGAACACGCCAAGCCTTCAAAGATAGACTTGATGGTTCGAATGGTGCAAGCAAACCCCAAGCCTCAAGGACACGCCAAACTTTCAAAGTGTTCTTCAATATTCTTTTAAAACTCAAGAACACGCCAAGCCTTCAAAGATAGACTTGATGGTTCGAATGGTGCAAGCAAACCCCAAGCCTCAAGGACACGCCAAACTTTCAAAGTGTTCTTCAATATTCTTTTAAAACTCAAGAACACGCCAAGCCTTCAAAGATAGACTTGATGGTTCGAATGGTGCAAGCAAACCCCAAGCCTCAAGGACACGCCAAACTTTCAAAGTGTTCTTCAATATTCTTTTAAAACTCAAGAACACGCCAAGCCTTCAAAGATAGACTTGATGGTTCGAATGGTGCAAGCAAACCCCAAGCCTCAAGGACACGCCAAACTTTCAAAGTGTTCTTCAATATTCTTTTAAAACTCAAGAACACGCCAAGCCTTCAAAGATAGACTTGATGGTTCGAATGGTGCAAGCAAACCCCAAGCCTCAAGGACACGCCAAACTTTCAAAGTGTTCTTCAATATTCTTTTAAAACTCAAGAACACGCCAAGCCTTCAAAGATAGACTTGATGGTTCGAATGGTGCAAGCAAACCCCAAGCCTCAAGGACACGCCAAACTTTCAAAGTGTTCTTCAATATTCTTTTAAAACTCAAGAACACGCCAAGCCTTCAAAGATAGACTTGATGGTTCGAATGGTGCAAGCAAACCCCAAGCCTCAAGGACACGCCAAACTTTCAAAGTGTTCTTCAATATTCTTTTAAAACTCAAGAACACGCCAAGCCTTCAAAGATAGACTTGATGGTTCGAATGGTGCAAGCAAACCCCAAGCCTCAAGGACACGCCAAACTTTCAAAGTGTTCTTCAATATTCTTTTAAAACTCAAGAACACGCCAAGCCTTCAAAGATAGACTTGATGGTTCGAATGGTGCAAGCAAACCCCAAGCCTCAAGGACACGCCAAACTTTCAAAGTGTTCTTCAATATTCTTTTAAAACTCAAGAACACGCCAAGCCTTCAAAGATAGACTTGATGGTTCGAATGGTGCAAGCAAACCCCAAGCCTCAAGGACACGCCAAACTTTCAAAGTGTTCTTCAATATTCTTTTAAAACTCAAGAACACGCCAAGCCTTCAAAGATAGACTTGATGGTTCGAATGGTGCAAGCAAACCCCAAGCCTCAAGGACACGCCAAACTTTCAAAGTGTTCTTCAATATTCTTTTAAAACTCAAGAACACGCCAAGCCTTCAAAGATAGACTTGATGGTTCGAATGGTGCAAGCAAACCCCAAGCCTCAAGGACACGCCAAACTTTCAAAGTGTTCTTCAATATTCTTTTAAAACTCAAGAACACGCCAAGCCTTCAAAGATAGACTTGATGGTTCGAATGGTGCAAGCAAACCCCAAGCCTCAAGGACACGCCAAACTTTCAAAGTGTTCTTCAATATTCTTTTAAAACTCAAGAACACGCCAAGCCTTCAAAGATAGACTTGATGGTTCGAATGGTGCAAGCAAACCCCAAGCCTCAAGGACACGCCAAACTTTCAAAGTGTTCTTCAATATTCTTTTAAAACTCAAGAACACGCCAAGCCTTCAAAGATAGACTTGATGGTTCGAATGGTGCAAGCAAACCCCAAGCCTCAAGGACACGCCAAACTTTCAAAGTGTTCTTCAATATTCTTTTAAAACTCAAGAACACGCCAAGCCTTCAAAGATAGACTTGATGGTTCGAATGGTGCAAGCAAACCCCAAGCCTCAAGGACACGCCAAACTTTCAAAGTGTTCTTCAATATTCTTTTAAAACTCAAGAACACGCCAAGCCTTCAAAGATAGACTTGATGGTTCGAATGGTGCAAGCAAACCCCAAGCCTCAAGGACACGCCAAACTTTCAAAGTGTTCTTCAATATTCTTTTAAAACTCAATCAAAACCATCTATTTAACATCACAAGGGACACCATGTCCTAGGTAGTGGTAAGTCTGCTGCAGTTTTGGGCTGGGACTCATATGAAAAGGCTAGAATAAAGAATTTGGAATGCCACCCCAATTGCAATTTTGTGGTCTATTTGGAAATTGAGAAAAGATATCGTGTTTAATGGAGTGCAACCAAATCTGGAGGAAGTCTGTGAGCTTATGAAAGTAAGAATTGCAACGTGGGTAAATGATTCATCCCCTGCTATTGTGTTTTCTGTCAATGATTTGTTGTTTAATCTTCATCAAGTCAGATTTTGCATTATTTCCTTATTTAGAATTATTTCTTCATTTATATCGTTTCCTAAATTGCATCGTTTACATAAACTCGAACCTTACTTTTAATCGCATATTAATCAATAAACAAAATAACACTACTACAAAAAGCTATCTCATTTTTATTGGAAGTGTGATAAAAAAAAAATTTACATTGATATTTTAATCACACTTAATTTGAGTAAGTGTGATAATATTTATTTTAGATCACACCTTTTAAGTGTGATTAATAACTAATAAAACCTGTGATAAAAAAAAATTTGACATATTTAAAGAATAATCAATATTATTTTTGCACGCTCATTTGAATAATGTAATACACACTATATACTATATTTTGAATCATAACCACATATTGAATAGAATAACGTCATATATTTCATAAATGAAAGTTAAATATTCAAAAGTATATACAAAGGAATTAATAAAAAGTTTTTAATTGTGATTACATATATTAAAAAATGAAAAAATTTGAAGCATAAACTTCTTGAATTCTTTGACTATATTTTGCATCTTTCTAATTAATTTCTGACCTGAAAAATGAAAATACAAATTAATTCAGAGACCGCTACAAACACAAATTGCCTTTTAGCAACTCCAAAACCAAACTATCAACCTATATGGGAATCAATCAACTCTGCTGTGGTTATGCATCAACTGACTGTATATGTGATGATCAATGTCAAGCAAGCATGACATGTTAGAGTGACACACATTCACAAGAATTATTGCATGAATGTTAAATCAAATATCATTAGACTTAATCCCTCCATACAAAATTTTCCGATATGTAGTGATATGACATTGAATGTGTTTGCTAGCAATTCATAGTATTGCTTTAGTAATAATAATGCTTGGGCAAATCATGAAAATCATAGAGAGAAATTCACAAGCTAATAAGATCAATAAAGTAGTAATAACTCTATAAGTTCACCTGGTTTCAAATATATAATCACTTTCAAAGTTTTCTAGTTTGTTTTCTTCACTGATTAAAACATCAGAGGGTTTGACCTATTTCTGCTTGCTGCTACAATCAGTAGGTTATTTATTTTATTGTTATTATCACCATCATTATTATTTTTTCTTGTTCACTGATAATTTTCTTTGGTTTTATATCCTTCTAGGAGTAAAGCGACTAAGGTTTCCAAAAAACTACAATGTGGGCCTCAGGATCAGGTGAGTAGGTCCATGACCAATTCACCTGTCATTAGCCCATCCAACTTTTTTTACATTCGCATTATCTATAAATTTTTAGAATGAATAGATAGAGTAGTATTATAAAAACAGATACCAAAGTATTATTTTTAACAGCCGTGGTACTTACAGGGGTTAGGGGAGGAGCCTCAAGAGGCAGCTGGTAATTCTCAACCCGTGTAATAGAGACTGAAAGATCAGCAATTGTGGATCCCTGAATCAAAAAGGCCAAAAATATAAAAATATAAAATAAATCTAAGGGTTAATAGAAACTGTTTTATCCTCATAGACCTGCAAAGCAAGATGAAACCATTGAAGGAAATTAATAAATCACAAAACATAGAGCCAAAACTGTGGGTTCTCTTTCTTTTAGGTAAATAAGTTATAAATTAAAAACAATAACATATACAGGTTTACAAGAGGCATCCCTCAGGCACCACAAAACTAACAACAGACACAGAGAAAAAAACAAAAGGCTCTTTAGCCAGACAACATTGTCATCAAACGAACAGAAACTGACACAAAAAGGTGCAAAAAAGAAAGGAAAACAACACAAAAATGCAAATTAAGTCCATTAGGATCAGCAAAAAAACAGAGCCCAATCAAAAAACTAGCCCAATTTGCTGCACCAACCAAGCAGCCACCTCTTACTGGCAGGAAGACAGTAAGAAACAGCAACAAAACAAAGGTTGGGCAGCATACAGTTCCGAAATACAGTAAAATGACCCTTTTCTAGGAAGACAGTAAGTACCAGCAAAGTCCTGAATACAAAGGGGAAAATGAGGCAGCTCTAAAGGACTTATCCAGGAGACCTGCAAGAGGAAGATCCAAACACACAACAATATATATAGAGACACTGGAAGTAAGAGTAAAAACAACTCAAAGAGCATGTGCTCTCAACACTATATGAGGAAAATGCCATGAGTCCATAAACCAATCATTATCCCCATCATCCTTGAAGTTGTTAACAGATAAGAGCCTGCACCTAACCTGAGATTCAACTTTTCTCACAACCACATTAGCAGGAGTACAAACAGATGAGAAGAACCTAGCACTTCTCTTCTGCCAGATACAGTAAATAGTACAAGTAAGCATTAATTTCTTAGCACTAGTGGCCAAAGAATGACCAGAGAATTGCCCAGATAACCAGTCCACACAACTGCCCCAGTTCATAGCCTGCCAATGCGTATTGCATTTATGTAACGGAGGGCCCAGCACACTAGAAGAAAAGGAACAATTGAAAAATAAACAGTTTAGCAGCACCAAACCATACATCAGCAGTTTACCAGTAGCGGCAACAATACAGCAGTAGTAGCACCTCTTTACAAGCACCAAAACCAGTGAGTAAACAACAGCTACAACTGCACCTCTCCGATGGGAACCAATTAAGAGCAACTAGAAAAAGAAAGGAAAATTTCTGACCTGAAAAATGAAAATACAAATTAATTCAGAGACCGCTACAAACACAAATTGCCTTTTAGCAACTCCAAAACCAAACTATCAACCTATATGGGAATCAATCAACTCTGCTGTGGTTATGCATCAACTGACTGTATATGTGATGATCAATGTCAAGCAAGCATGACATGTTAGAGTGACACACATTCACAAGAATTATTGCATGAATGTTAAATCAAATATCATTATACTTAATCCCTCCATACAAAATTTTCCGATATGTAGTGATATGACATTGAATGTGTTTGTTAGCAATTCATAGTATTGCTTTAGTAATAATAATGCTTGGGCAAATCATGAAAATCATAGAGAGAAATTCACAAGCTAATAAGATCAATAAAGTAGTAATAACTCTATAAGTTCACCTGGTTCCAAATATATAATCACTTTCAAAGTTTTCTAGTTTGTTTTCTTCAGTGATTAAAACATCAGAGGGTTTGATCTATTTCTGCTTGCTGCTACAATCAGTAGGTTATTTATTTTATTGTTATTATCACCATCATTATTATTTTTGCTTGTTCACTGATAATTTTCTTTGGTTTTATATCCTTCTAGGAGTAAAGCGACTAAGGTTTCCAAAAAACTACAATGTGGGCCTCAGGATCAGGTGAGTAGGTCCATGACCAATTCACCTGTCATTAGCCCATCCAACTTTTTTTACATTCGCATTATCTATAAATTTTTAGAATGAATAGATAGAATAGTATTATAAAAACAGATACCAAAGTATTATTTTTAACAGCCGTGGTACTTACAGGGGTTAGGGGAGGAGCCTCAGGAGGCAGCTGGTAATTCTCAACCCGTGTAATAGAGACTGAAAGATCAGCAATTGTGGATCCCTGAATCAAAAAGGCCAAAAATATAAAAATATAAAATAAATCTAAGGGTTAATAGAAACTGTTTCATCCTCATAGACCTGTAAAACAAGATGAAACCATTGAAGGAAATTAATAAATCACAAAACATAGAGCCAAAACTGTGGGTTCTCTTTCTTTTAGGTAAATATGTTATAAATTAAAAACAATAACATATACAGGTTTACAAGAGGCATCCCTCAGGCACCACAAAACTAACAACAGACACAGAGAAAAAAACAAAAGGCTCTTTAGCCAGACAACATTGTCATCAAACGAACAGAAACTGACACAAAAAGGCGCAAAAAAGAAAGGAAAACAACACAAAAATGCAAATTAAGTCCATTAGGATCAGCAAAAAAAGAGAGCCCAATCAAAAAACTAGCCCAATTTGCTGCACCAACCAAGCAGATTAGCCACCTCTTACTGGCAGGAAGACAGTAAGAAACAGCAACAAAACAAAGGTTGGGCAGCATACAGTTCCGAAATACAGTAAAATGACGCTTTTCCAGGAAGACAGTAAGTACCAGCAAAGTCCTGAATACAAAGGGGAAAATGAGGCAGCTCCAAAGGACTTATCCAGGAGACCTGCAAGAGGAAGATCCAAACACACAACAATATATATAGAGACACTGGAAGTAAGAGTAAAAACAACTCAAAGAGCATGTGCTCTCAACACTATATGAGGAAAATGCCATGAGTCCATAAACCAATCATTATCCCCATCATCCTTGAAGTTGTTAACAGATAAGAGCCTGCACCTAACCTGAGATTCAACTTTTCTCACAACCACATTAGCAGGAGTACAAACAGATGAGAAGAACCTAGCACTTCTCTTCTGCCAGATACAGTAAATAGTACAAGTAAGCATTAATTTCTTAGCACTAGTGGCCAAAGAATGACCAGAGAATTGCCCAGATAACCAGTCCACACAACTGCCCCAGTTCATAGCCTGCCAATGCGTATTGCATTTATGTAACGGAGGGCCCAGCACACTAGAAGAAAAGGAACAATTGAAAAATAAACAGTTTAGCAGCACCAAACCATACATCAGCAGTTTACCAGTAGCGGCAACAATACAGCAGTAGTAGCACCTCTTTACAAGCACCAAAACCAGTGAGTAAACAACAGCTACAACTGCACCTCTCCGATGGGAACCAATTAAGAGCAACTAGAAAAAGAAAGGAAGAAAACAGAACAACAAAATCAGCAGCAACTCAACTCCCGTGTCACAACTTTCTAACAAACTCATATATTTCTTTTCTTATATATGTCATAATGTAAAAACCATGATAAGTTTATTGTTGATCAATAAAATAGCAATTTCACACACAATAAAATATACCTTGCTAGGGATAATAGCAGTAATCAAACCAGGACTCTAGTAAGAAAATTTAATTAAGGAATTTATGCATATCTCAAATCAACAATACTAGAAATCCAAAATTTACCTATAAAATTAATAACTCAAATTTATTATATATATAAACCTTACACTTCATCAATTCAATTTATACCACGCCGAAGAGAGAGAGAGAGACAAATAGACAGACAGAGAGAGAAGAGTGATGAGTGAGAGAGAGGAAGATGAAAAAATATGTGAAAAGATATATATATATATAGAGAGAGAGAGAGAGAGAAAGAGCGAAGAGAGATAAACGAGAGAGAGACAGAAAGAGATAAGTAAGAGATAAAAAAAAAGAGAGAGAAGAGAGACAGAGAGAGAAGATAGATGAAAGAGATAGAGAGAAAAGAGATGGACGAGAGACACAGAGAAAAAGAGAGAGACAGACAGAGAAGAGCGATGAGTAACAGAGAGAAAGAAAAGAGAGAGGGGTTGTCGTCGCAAAAAAAACTTTATTTTTTGTTAAAATAAAATTTTTTTAAAAAAATTATTTTATTTTGGTTACTAAGCTTGAAAATTTATTTGTTTCATTTTTTTTTAATGAAAAAAAAAATTATTATTATTTTTTATTTGGTAGAAGTAGGGGTAATATTTTAATGAAAAATATTGTAATGGTAGTCGTAGTGGTGAAGTGGCGACCGTGTTAGTAGTGGTGGTAGTGAAATGGCGTTTGCAGTAGTAGTGAAAGTGGTAGAGGAGATAGGTGGTGAGAGAGAGAGATAAGTGAGAGACAGATAGAGGAGAGAGACAGAGACAGAGACAGAGTGGTGAGCGAGAGATAGATGAGTGTGAGAGAGAGAGAGACAAATAGACAGACAGAGAGAGAAGAGTGATGAGTGAGAGAGAGGAAGATGAAAAAATATGTGAAAAGATATATATATATATAGAGAGAGAGAAAGAGCGAAAAGAGATAAACGAGAGAGAGACAGAAAGAGATAAGTAAGAGATAAAAAAAAAGAGAGAGAAGAGAGACAGAGAGAGAAGATAGATGAAAGAGATAGAGAGGAAAGAGATGGACGAGAGACACAGAGAAAAAGAGAGAGACAGACAGAGAAGAGCGATGAGTGACAGAGAGAAAGAAAAGAGAGAGGGGTTGTCGTCGCAAAAAAAACTTTATTTTTTGTTAAAATAAAATTTTTTTAAAAAAATTATTTTATTTTGGTTACTAAGCTTGAAAATTTATTTGTTTCATTTTTTTTAACGAAAAAAAAAATTATTATTATTTTTTATTTGGTAGAAGTAGGGGTAATATTTTAATGAAAAATATTGTAATGGTAGTCGTAGTGGTGAAGTGGCGACCGTGTTAGTAGTGGTGGTAGTGAAATGGCGTTTGCAGTAGTAGTGAAAGTGGTAGAGGAGATAGGTGGTGAGAGAGAGATAAGTGGGAGACATAGAGGAGAGAGAGAGAGACAGAGACAGAGAGACAGAGTAGTGAGCGAGAGAGAGACAAAGTGGTGCTCAAAGTGTATTCTCTTGTAGTGGATCGATAAATTGAGAGGGAGCTCAGTAAATAGAAAAGACGGAATGGAAATAGTGAGCAACGCGAACACAAATGGGAGAGAGAGAGAAATAAACAGACAGGGAGAGAAGAGTGATGAGTGAGAGAGAGAAAGAAAAGAAATAAAGGAAGATGAAAAATAGGTGAAAATATATATATATAGAGAGAGAGAGAGAAAGAGCAAAAAGAGATAAACGAGAGAGAGACAGAAAGAGATGAGCGAGAGAGCGAGAGAGAAAAGGAAAGGAAGATGAAAAATAGGTGAAAAAATATATATAGAGAGAGAGAAAGAGCAAAAAGAGATAAACGAGAGAGAGACAGAGAAAGAAGAAAGATGAGTGAGAGATACAAGGAGAAAGAGAGACAGACAGACAGAGAAGAGTGATGAGTGAGAGTGAGAAAAATAAGAGAGACAGACACAGAGAGAAAGAGAGAGACAGACAGATAGAGAAAAGTGATGAGTGAGAGAGAGAAAAAGAAGAGAGACAGAGACACAGAGAGAATGAGAGAGACGGACAGACAGAGAAGAGTGATGAGTGAGAGAGAGAGAAGAGAGACAGAGACACATAGAGAAAGGGAGAGACAGACAGAGGAGATGGAGTGGCAGTGGTGGATGAGAGGTAATGGTAGTAGTAGTGGTAGTGGTGGTAAGGGAGTGGTGGCGATGATGGTAGTAATGGTAATCGTAGAGGTGGAGTGGCAACAGTGGTAGTAGTGGTGGTAGTGGAATGGCATTTGCAATAGTGGTAAATGTAGTAGAGGAGATGGGTGGTGAGAGGGAGAGATGAGTGAGAGACAGATAGAGAAGAAAGATAGAGAAACAGAGACAAAGTGATGAGCGAGAAAGTGACAAAGTGGTTGTTAAAAGTGCATTTTCTTGTAGTGGATCGATAAGAAAAATGCCCTAGACCCCCAGTGGGAGTGATCCCCACCACCCCCACTGTTTTCTGATTGGTTCAAAAAAATTTATTTATTTATTTATTTATTTTCACTCTTGCTCTCACAGCCCCCCACGTCGAGGTGGGGGTGCTAGGGGTCACCGCCCACTGGGGGTCACCGCCCACTGGGGGTCACCGCCCACTGGGGGTCCCC